CCGTTTGATAGTACTAGGGCTATACTTACGAATGAGTAAGGAGATTAAGTCTGGTCGAAGGCTGAGTGACTGGTTGCTTGAAAGAATGTCACTAAATGAAAAGCAAAATGCACATACCTGTTCAAACAGTGACTCTGCAAGTTTCCGTTGGTGGAACTCCAAGCTTTGCTGGGAGACATTCTGAGGGCTCGAACTGGCATGCTTCTGTCGTGAGCCTAAAGGCGGCGATGACACGGGGGCGGGAACAAATGAACTCGAAGGTGATCCAACGTCATGAACATGCTCTGCATGACAAGTGGATGGATACGGCTGACTGCGTCTTGCAGACTTGAAGACTGGCGGTGGGAGTGGCTCAAAGTTCTGAAACACTTGAGTTCTACGAGGCGAAATCTGAGGAGCTAAAAATGGGGATGGGTTATCAGCAAAGCACAAAGGCGGTCGAACTGCACTAGTGTTAGGTAGACCGTCGATTCGATCTGGAGCCAGTTCTCTACTATGAATAGGAGTGCAACTAGCGGCTTTCGGCCGTGACGGCAAGTCCTGAGGCCCCCGGTATCGCTTCACGCGGAAAGGAGTGTCCATCAGAAAATGGGCTGCGGGTTTGAATACGTGTGGAAACTGCAACATCAAAAGCAAAAACCATGGAAAGTCAATGAAGTGAGCGCAAGCTAAAGTGAACAAAACACATTTGACTTACAAGAAGGCTATACATGAGAAGATATCTCAAGCATGCTGTCATGTATCAACATTCAGCATGGCAGATTCACCGTTCGCAGGTGGTAACTGCCAGCCGAACATTGACGTATCCTAGAACCAAAATGGCACACAAAACATGTAAGTACCTAAAACATCACGTGAAGGATCACTACCAACGCGGCAAGGTAGCACCCAAACTCCCACGCACACAGCACCCAAGCCCCTAGGTGACACAGCAGCGGCACCAGCGCGCAAGCTCCCAAAGGCACACAGCAGCGGCACGGCACCAGCACCCAAGCACCCAAGCTCCCAAGCGCAGCAGCGGCACCCCAAGCGCACACAGCAGCGGCACCCTCAGCTCGCAAGCGCACTCAGCAGCAATACCCTGCAGTGACTCCTGCAGTGGCACCTGCAGTGGCACCGCAGCAGTGGCATCCTGCAGCGGCACGCTCGAAAACGCACACAGGCAGTTCTTCCATAATACTTGAAGTAAGAACCCCAATAGCTACTAGCGGCCTACCCCGCCCGCCGGCTAACAACAACAAACCCTAAAATTACATCATCTTCAGCCATTAAGGCATACAGACGTTCACGCAAAGCTCCATCATCCACAGCTTTGGAATGAGAGCGTGCGCAACCATGTTGGCTCCAAAAGTCAACTGCCCCGCAGTTCGCCACCTTTCCAAGCACCCTGTCTCCACCGCCCAGCACGGGCACGCAGCACCCGCACCCTGTCTCCGCCACGCGCGGCCAGCACCAGCACCCAGCACCGGAACCCTGTTTCCACCATGCGCACAGCCAGCTCACAGCACCCAGCACCGGCACCCAGTCTCCACCACACGCACAGCCAGCACCAGCACCCGGCCCCCAGCACTGGCACCCTGTCTCCACCACGCGCACAACCAGCTCACAGCACCCAGTTTTAGCACCACAGCCAGCACCAGCACCCGTCACCGGCACCCAGCATCAAAAGCGCTTAGAGCCAGCTCATTGTTATTTGAAGTAAGAACCCATAGCTGTCGCTATCTGTGGAAAAACAACTACTGACTTATCAAAATCGCACCAGCAAAGAGCCCAGATAGCAAAAGCGCGCAAAAGACTTTTCTGGACTGCACCCTGCATTGGCAGCAGCTCCGAAGTATCTGAACTAAGTTTTGCATTCGCACTGACTTCGGTTACTGTCGCAAAATCAAGTTCTGTAATCAGTTGGGTGAAGTTGGTCTGCCGCAGACGGTCTGCCTCATGACTGTGCAAAGCCAGCTCGTATACCGAATTGCTGGATAAACAGTCGAACAATTTCTGGTCTCAATCATGTGGGAAGAAAGTCAAATAAGCCCAAGAAAAGTCCCCAACAGTTCAAGGCCAATTTCACAGCCACCTCGAAAAAAGATGTCGCGAAAAGATGTCCAGAATCTGCTCAGGAACCTCCTCCGGAACCTGCTCCGGAACCTAAGCCCCAGATTGATGGGTCCAAAGTCCCACCCAGCGGGGCTCATTCCACGACACGTCCACCAGTCCGGGAGCGGCAGCCAGAATGGCTTGCGGCTGCGAACATTGTAGGATAGCTGCAGCAGGAAGCTCTACTCTCGCAAACGGCTGACGTGGTCCCAATCGGGCCTTTGCTGCCGCTCCAGGTCCGCCGTGGCACCAGCGTCAGGTCGCTGGTGGACGATGTTGTTCACAGCCGTCCGCAAGTGCCCCGCCGTTAAAGGTAAGCGCGAGGCGTGCACCTCCAACTTCAAATCAAACTCTGGTTCCACAGTCCTAACCTAATAGCTAGTAGCGATGGCCTCCCCAGTAGCGATGGCCTCCACCCTAGTAGCGATGACTTGCACCCTATTAGTGATGGCCTCCACCCTAGTAGCGAAGCAAAACCAAAAGCGCACAGCGCACTCAAACTGTCCAGTATTCGCACTGCCGTCTGCAAACCTTCTACGACTACGAACTTCTGCAATGGCGAAATAAACGGTTAGCATGAACCCCTGGGGAATAACGCAAGAAATCTTCCACGAGCTCCAAGATCATGTAAAAACCCCGCAGGGTTAGCACGAACATGAAAAGTCTGTACGAACCTCTGCGAACAACAGTCTATAATACTTCCACTCCGCTCGTTGTGCCCTATGCATTTGGTTGAGCACAGATGTGACAAAAATCTTCCGCCCTCTTCTTTTTGTGGTTTGTTGGCCTGTCAGTTCCGCGCAAGCAGCCTGCCAGCATTGCACGGCTTCGTGAAAACGCTGCGCTCATCCAAGTAAGGAAGGCTTCCTCACCTTCTTCACTGACGTGAACTATTGGCAAATGATGCCAGCGCATACAACTATGGTTCTCTTTAGAGGCGTGCAGGGAGGTCTCGGCCAGTGTCACACTGAAAACGAGACTTTGAAGCGGAAAACAAAAAGTCCCACCGGGACCATGTTGGGTCCTGTCGAGCGGCCCTTGCTTTTGCAAGGTCCGCCTTCAGGTACTCCGTCTGTGCCTGCCGACAAACAAACGTTTGCGGCGCGCATTGAGCCCGGACTTTGTTCGAAGCGACGAAACCACGCACGGGTTGTTTCGAAAGGGGAAGGGAGCCGTGTGGAGAAATGGAATCAAGTGGCAAGGTGCCTTGTGCTTGCACACCCTAAACCCCACGGCGCGGGTAAGCGCGTCCACGTCCTGGAAAGCACGAGCGACCGGCTGTCGGCAAGCGCTTTGTTTTCGAAGAGTCAGCCGAAAAAAATGGACGAGGAAAACATGCCCTCTGACGTCCAAACTGTTGCAACGCATTGTTCAACTCTTCAATATTGCGCAACGGTTCACTCAACAGACTTCCAACACCCCAGCTTACAAAGAATGGCCGAGCTGGTTCAACGCAATGTATTTGCCGCCTCCTGCAGCTTTGCGTTGCGCCGCCGCAGTTCGGACTTGCTTGTGGACGCGCTCCCAGAGCGGCTCCTGGTCAGGAACGCACTCAGGGACTTTGACTTCTATTGCTGCTGATTCTATATGCCTAAATTGGTCCCCGGGTTCTGCAAAAGGGGCGCGCCGCCGCATAAGAGAATTTGCGTTTCGCTACACGTTTGGGCACTCGACAGGCCGGATCCTGCGAGAGGCTTCGTCCAGCACCCGTCAAATTTGCATTTCGCTACACGTTTGGGCACTCGACTGGCCGGATCCTGCGAGAGGGTTGCTTCTCACGTGCTCTCGCTTGGTCCGCCCCGGCTTTAAAGATAATTGAAGAGCGAGCTGTCAAGACAGAACTTGGTCAAGTCTCTCGCAAGTGCTAAACCTTGGTCAAGTCTCTCGCAAATGCAAAAACTCTTACAAGTGCTAAAGCCTGAGCTAGACAGACCAAGTGCTAAAGCTTGATCAAATCTCCCAAGTGCTAAAGCATGATCAAATCTCTTGCAAGTGCTAGACTCTTACAAGTGCTACGGCCTCAGCTAGACAGACCAAGTGCTAAAACTTGATCAAATCTTTGCAAGTGCTAGACTCTTACAAGTGCTGAAGCCTCAGCTAGACAGACCAAGTCTTTCGCGAAAAAGGTGAGATGTGTTTATGATGTGTTAATGATGTGTACATATATGTGTACATCATGTGCACTAGTTGATGTTCATCCACATCTCACTTTGGAAGTGCTCAATGTATGTGGGTATTATAATTGTATATTACAAAGACTGCTCATCTTGTCAAGACTCTAGGCTGGCTCTAGGTACAGCCTAGGGATCGGACCGACGAGGCTCGACAGTTTCGTTGATTCCGACCTTTTGGTCGGTCGAAACCATCGGATTTCCTACTGGCAGATCCAGGTCCGGCAACTCTCAATGAATTGAAATCTACATACCCAGATCCTGGGCCATGTACGATGGAACTGTTCGCAGATGCGCTGTTCTCCTTTAGGCTAAGATAGATCAATAGATCTGGCAGTGGAAGGTTACTCCCAAACAGCTGTGGTCCGATCCGATGTTTGATCTGAGGAATTGGGACTTGAAAAACTGGAAACCTGAGCTATTCACTTGGCAAAAGGACAGTAGGTGCAATACCATAAAATATGGCATGTTGGTCTTTGGTACCAAGAAGAACACAGGCAAGGGGTGGTCTTTTCAGGCTCGGGAACTTCCAAATCCCACTCCAAACAATCATGGAAGTGAACTTAGGCCCCTGCAAGACGGGTTCCACCATCCAAATGGGAGGAGGAACCATCTGCATCTTCACCGCCCACCTCCAACCTACGCCCGCATCGCCCAATACCCGCGCTTCAACGCGCTTCGCCACCGGCCCAACCGCGTCAGCCTGACGTCAGCGCGTGCGTTCGTCCCAGCCACGTTGCAAGTCCTCCCAGCTCACCTCGACGATGCGCCTCGCCGATCGCCTCATGTGGCTCCACCTCCGTCCTCGAGCGGCGGACGGCGCCCGGAAGGCGCCCGGACGGAGCAGATGGACGGCCGACAGGCCACGGGAAGGCCCGGACGCGGGATGCGACGGCTTCATCTCAAGGGACGCAACAGAGTGGTGTTGCAGAGTTGGTGGTGTCCCGGACCCGACCTGGGAATGGATTGAAGGTCTGGGGTGTTTGAAGAGGGGCTCCATTGGGTTGGGCATGCAAATCGGACATGTGTTCGTCAGCAAACTCCAAGCTTCACCTGGTAAACTTTGGTAGACCATTCAGTGACATCTCCGGGTATCACTGTATCTCCAATAAGATTGGGAAAAAATATTGGAAAATGATGGCAAACATCTCCACAGCCAGCCGGCCGGACATCAGCAAAACTTCCACCAGCAGGTTTTTCTGGATAGACCACATGATAGCAGAGGATAAGTCCACCCAGTAGTGTTGACTGTTGATGAATCAAACCCGCTACCAGGATGACTCTACATCTCCATATGGGCCTGGGGCTCTATTTATCAAAGGTGTAACAGTATTCATCCCAGAGTCATTTTGGAGCATCTAAACAAAGGCCGATCCAGACACATCCCATCCCTCTCTCTTGATATCTTTTGATGAAGAAAGCCACCCCACTGAACCCATCAAAGCTTCGGGGAATAAAAGATCCGACACTACACCAACAAAAACCCACTAGCCACCCGGCACCATACAAACCCACTAGTCACTAGCAACTCTAGTAATTACATACATATATATAGGTCTCTCTGTTCTATTTCTTAGCCACATCCATTCACAACACAAATGGAATGCTTTATGGTCAATGCCAGACCACCAGGCCTGACCACCTGGCCCGTCCTGCAAAGCCACTGAGCGCCGCCCAACCGCGCAGCCGCGACGCGGTGAACGTCGACGACGCCCACGGCGCGCGCGGCGGCGCGCGCGGCGGCGCGCGCGGCGGCGGGTTCGCGGTGGCGTGCGACAGAGGCGGCGGACAGGGGCACGCCGAGCGCATGGCGGAGCGAAACGGTGTGGGCGGGTTTGGAAACGGTGTGGAGAAGCCAAAAGAGGTTTGTTTTGAAGGACAGAAAGACTGGGAAAAAGGATTGAAAAGGAAAGAACAAACCGCGTGATAATGATGATGATGTCAGACCTGGATGAACATGTCGTGTAATCATGGTGCGGAATTTGAAGAGAATTGCATCCGCTTGCTGCTGGCACTTCCTATGAGACGATTTCACTGCCTACTTAGCATTGCATCCTTCTGCCTCAGTACATGTTGGTATGCAAAGTGACGGCGTGCTGGTGGTGATCACTGCAGATCTCCAAGGATTCTGCCCTTTGTCTTCGCTGAGCTATGAGTGATCATGTTTCGTCGCTTCCGATCTCTTGGATCGAGTCAAAGCCTCGTCTCTCAGGTTAGCCAAACAGAGCCCCACAGCAGAGCCAGCCCGTCCTTCCCCCCCGGGCGCCCACCCTGGACCACCAGCGGAACGGACCACGTGAAACCGGAACCTGGTGTGGCCGGCGCAGTCCGGAATGGAGTGGCGCAGTCGGAAAAGGTGGCACCTTTGGCACATGGGGTCCTTCCAGTTTTGGGCGACCGGACGAAACCTGGTGGCCACAACTGTCGTCATCCTCATCTCATCTCCCATGTCCGGCCTCGCCCACGAAGTAGGCTCGGAAGTCCTTTTGAAAGGCGCGTGTGAAAGGGTGGCAGGTGAAATCCCATCGAAATGGTTTGAAACAGGGCGTTTGTGGGTGCGTCTGTCTTCTTTTTCGGAAGATGAAGCATCTCGAAGATCGGGATAGCATCTTGAGTATAGGAAGGGGGGTCACCTTCCTGGGCAAGAACGGGTCTTTGAGGTTGTCACTTTCCCGGGTGTGCTACAGCCTCCGGTTCAACGCTTGGTGTGCTACACCCTGCGAAGCGCTTCCTCAACCCCCTGCCCACACTATGATGAATTTCTCACTTGACGATGTGGCTTGCGATCCGCGGCCGGATTCCTTATTTGGAGCCTCCAACAGGGGTACCAGCTGGCATGTTGAGCAAAACTATCCAAAGCATTCCTGAAGGCTAGGGCAAATGGGAGTTCGTTGATGCCCCATTGTGTCCATCCTGAGAGGTTCACATGATCAGTGTATCACTCAAACCCTGAAAACAAAAAACGACTCGTAGCCTTGACTCACACAGAACCAGTATTGATTTAGAGTATCAATCCATTCAACAAACGATCTGCTGTCCTCAACTCCGATGGAGCAGCAGGGACCCTCGAGACTCGGCGGTTTCGGGCCCAGTCCCATCAGGGTGTTTCCTCTGGCCCCGTTGGATGAGAGTTGCTGGAGTTTGCACACCTTTTTCGAAGCTGGTGATATCCTTGATGGTCCTTGACCGACTCTGAAAAACGAACACGACCGGGATGGAAGAAACACCCTCTATATAAAAGGTGTTTGATCCAAACCAACACCATGGATATAAGAAACGCTTCCGAACGGTCCTAACCAAAAAGAACCCAACATCAGGATTGGACGACCGAACCAAAACACCAAATCCACCCCCTGAATCCAACTGGCCTCGATCGCTCTTTTGTCCTTTGTCCTCCGAAAAAACCGCTCCTCTTGATCCTTGGCCTCCAGAAACCCTGAGCCCTGCAAGTACTCCAAGCGATCAACTGGCACCTCCAGCAGTGGACGCCCGCCGCGCCCACGATCGAAACCCCATCCGTGGTTGGCTCATCGCTTCCCCGAAAATCAAAGATGGAAACCCCATAGTTTCACAGTTCATCTACTCTACCCACCAGGGAGCATAGGTACCTTCCTGATGGTTCCCACCAAATGGCAGTCTCTACAAAGAACACAGAGAGACTGAGAGAGAGTGAGAGAGAGAGAGAGAGTGAGAGAGAGAGAGAGTGAGTGAGTGAGTGAGTGAGTGAGTGAGAGAGAGAGATATACCCGGAGGAGAAGTTGACATGGTTGTGTCCCTTACCCTCCGAAACCACCAGTCGTTTCGGGAAGACAAACTGTGTAGAGGAGACATATCCAATCGAAAAAGCTTACATGGTCAACCAAGTTGTTCAACTAATGACGACCATGACGAAAAATCGTCGAATAGATTATCAGATCTATATATAAATGAATGGAATCAAATTCTTACCACCAAAACAAGGACCAGGACCATGGACCACCACCAGAATCACGAGCTATCCACACACAGCCACTCAATCCACCTACGCTCCTCACCTCAAAGGCCTGCTCTGCATATTCGCCCTCGGGCAAGGCGCCGCCTTCCGCCGTGACCGGCATCCAGCTGAAAACGCCTCGCTACGGCACGTCGGGACCGGGGAGAAAGAGGCGGGGACGCGCGGCTTTGGGATCCTCCAAGAGTTGCATCGTGAGGCCATTTCGTGGGACCCGCGCGGACGGACCAAAGAGTGCGGAACCCCAACACGGTCACGGTCTGGTCAATGAGATGAGCTCTGCAGAAAAAGATTTGTTTTTCTGGTACGAGTCCAGACAAGCATGAGATGAAGAGGACCAAAGAGTCTAGACTATCTGTCAGTGATGTCCTTTTGGGAAGAATAGATGGGTCGGTTTGGTACCATTTACCTATTGGGTGTACACTTGAGAGTATGCTCTCTGGTAACTAATAGTAAAAGGCCATCTATGCTATGTGTCTCTCTTTGCACTCTTGCCCTCCCAAAGTAAGAAGCCTTCTTGCCACGCTCAGCATTAACTGCGGATCCCCGACAGTTACGGCGTGTAGACAAAAGGCCGTTTTTGCGTCAGTTGATCGGCGTAGAGCTCCATCCCCAAGCAGCTCACATAAGATAGTTCGACTGCAGAAATCAGCCTAATTACAGTGACTATTAAACCTTGTCTTCAGATCTTTCGGCAGGTGTAGGGACCGAAAAGGCTGAGACCCCTGTCAAGTGGCCAAGCCGCCGGAAAAAAAAGATAATATCACCTCCCATTGGAAACAAAGTTCAACCATTCTACCTCGCATTACCTCGCATCATTACTGGCTTCTTGATCGCCCACCTCCAATCAGTTTTTCAGGGGTTACCCAGGCCTGAACCCATCTCATCGCCCATGAACTCCGGGGCATCGAACGGATCGTACCTGTCGACCGCGTCGACCGCGTCGACCGCTGAGGTCCCGCTGACCCGTCGATCGACGCGGGGCTTCGAACCACGGCGCGAGGCACCACCGGGGGAGACTGCCCGGATGGTTCGCGCTCGGGGAGCGGGAAGGCGAAGCGGCTCGGCGAACGCGTGGAGTTGGGCAATCCCAGCTTGGCACCTGCTCAGCTGGAGAACGATGAGACTGCCCGGCAGCTCGGCGGTGGAAGTGGTGTCTTTGTTCAATCGACCAACAACGACGGGGCGGATGGGTCGGATGGAGACCTGTGAGGTGGACTTCCACCTCAGACCTCCCGGAGGAAGAAATCGAGACGAATCTAGACCTCTAAACCTCCGTAGACCGCTCTAGACCTCCGCGGAGGTCCTTCCTGTGGCCCAAACCTGTTCCGCAAGCACTCGGTTGCTCTCCCAGAGAGGCTTTAAGGTCAAACGGTTGCCTTGCGCAGTGTGCGGTGCAGCCCGATGATGACGCCCCCCGCGAAGAAGTACGCTGTTAAGATCTATCTGTTAAGGAGGAGATCAGAGTTCCTTCACAAACTCTTAAAAGGGATAAATTTTTGGATTGTCATGACAGTGACCGAAATTCCTCGGACATGCACCGTCCACAAGGTGAACCGTCCTTCACAGTGGTTCTTCAAAGTGGAAAGCCCGGACTCGACAAGCGCGCGCGAGCGGAAGGGGCTCGCCACAGCAGGGCGAGCCAGAGGACTGAGGTGGATGAAGGATGAGGAGCGGAAGCGAAGTAAATATGAACTCGCCACCAGGACCCTCCTGTCGGGGTGTCTATTTATAGCCCCTTAGCTGTTAAGGGGTGTCCATGAACCACCCCGACTGGGGGTCCTGGCATAATTGATCTTTTCACTTCAAGCTTTCTGGGGTCGGTGACCGCAAGCTGCACAAATCATATAGAAGTCCTTCTGAAAGAGTCAATTCCAGTTCCGTGTAGGGCTGGAAGAAGGTGTTGGGGGGCCCTCCTGCCACTGGGATGCGACGTTTCACACCCCTGCCCAGTCACTGCCCCTCTGGGCTCACTCCAATCCGGCGGTGTTTCCCTTGGTCACCAGCCGTCCAATCGGCCTCAGGGCTCCGGAGAAAACCGCTACGAACGGAGCGTTCGGACGCTCCGAACGGGGCTCCTGGCCGTACTACTAGGAACCATGGTTCGAAAACGAACGGAACCACACTGGCATCGCGTCCCGAGTGACCGGAGCGATGCCGGACGCTACGTTAAACTGGCCACAGGTGACCAATGAACATCGTTTTACCATGGAAAGTGATGGAAAGGATTCCATCAGAACCCATCGCTCCTTCGGTCCTTCGGTCCTCCGGAGACCCGGAGGACAGCCATCGGAAGACGACCGATGCTTAGTCGGACCGGTGCTTAGGCGCAGAAACGGAGGAGAAGCTCCGAAGTCGAATGTGATTCCTCAAGCTTCAAAAGGTAAGGTCTTATGGTCATTTGATGTCCATGTCCTGCTTCCAAAGTTGTTCCTAACTTTTGATGTGTGAATCATATACCATGAAAAGCCTGATCAGCGATCGCCACCAAAGTGGTGCATGTGTTCAGGACTTTCAATGAGCCATTAATTTGTGGGCCATGCGGTATCGCCATCAACCAACGGTATCGCAGCCCCCGAGCTCTGTCTTTTGCCTTGTGTCTGTTGCAAGGGTTTGGAGTGTTCGGAAACAACCCGGGAAGAATCGCAGGGTGGGGCAAGGGCCAGGTACCATGAATCAAATTTAAGTGATCCTAGGTTTGGAAGTCGTATCTATCGAAGTGCGAAATCAGTTTAATTCACTAGCCATCATCTTGTGTTGGGCCCCGTCCCCACCCTGAAAATGGCCTGAAGGCCAATCTTCCCTTGAAATCTGTCAATCGATGTGTGCTCGAAGGGCTAAGAAAATTGACGAAAATGCGTCAGGGTGACCCCCCCCGTGTTTGAGTATTTGAGTCTTGACTAAAAAAAAGAATCACATTTCCCCAACCACATTCCCCCAACCGCTGTCAAAACGCATCTGAAAACCCCGGTTTCCCGATGTCTGGAGGGGTAGGACCTGATATCCACGGGTGAACCAAAAAATCACCATATCCTGTTGATCATGTATGAAACACATGGAAACAAAGCTGCTTCAGCGCCACTGGGATAGGATACCTAGTTAGATACTTCTTCTTCTTCTTCTTCTTCTTCTTCTTCTTCTTCTTCTTCCGGTGTCTTTTTTGAGTGTGTGGTTTCCCTCTTGGCCGGGGCCACCCTGCTTCAGGAAACGGTCGTGCAAGCGTGGAATCTTCGGTGAAAGCGTGGGTCTCGTCCACGACGGGTTGACGTCACCTGGAGCCGAGCCAACCGTTGCCCTTAGTAAAACAGCTCGGTGCTTCGGGATGACCCGGCTATTAAAACAATGGTGGTTCGACTTCTAGGGCGTTGTATGTGGTCTTGCAAACACGTTTTAAATAGGGAGACCTCCCAGTGCCAGTGCAGGGGCCAGATTGAGCGCGTCTCCTTACTTGACATGGCCACCAGCTTCAAGGTATTTCGAAGGAGGGCTTCTATCTTTCTCGTCACAGACCCATCACCACCACGCTCTTTTCCCAACCCAAACGGACTCTCGAACTAGTTGCTTGCTAAGTAGTTCCACACTAGCTAGTTCCCTCACTCTTCGCACCATCCCCAATCTTCTACATCTATCTTTAGCTGCTGACCCACACCCCTCTCACCCAAATGAAGCCTTCATTTCTTGTAGGTCCTCGACATGCGCACGGAATTGCGACTTCCCTCCGGCAGCTGTGCCACTTTGTTCCCCAACTCTTCGCCACCCACCTGACACGGTGGCGTACCAAGGTGGACGGCACGTGGACGGAAGTACGATCATGAACCGCTCCGGTGCTGAGACGAGCGGCTGAGACTGCTACGATCTTTCATGTTTCATGCGCGTAGCGGCTTTTCTTGTTCCTAGGAGTTGGGTTCCTGAGAGTTCAGTTTTGACTCCTTTTTGAACCCAACTTGGGTCCCCAGTCATGTACTGCCGGTCCATGCCGGAAAGAGTGATACACTTCTGCCGCCCAATTCGTGGACACCCGGTTCAATCCAGTTCAGATCGTTTGGGTCGTGGGTCGTGGTGGATGAGTTCGACGGTCCAACGACTCAGTGTCCGCGGGTCCTGGCGCTCGTAGACTGTGCACAACGACTGTGGCGTCCAAAACGTTTGTTCTTTGTCTGTGCAGGAGTGTGTTCATCCATCAGATCATGTTGAAGGAATGTCTCGTAGATTTCAAGCGTTCTTCGGAGTTTGAAAGTTACCAAAAAAGTCCACGACCAAACATGATCAAAAGGGTGGTAGAGGACGCTACGAACGGAGTTCCTGGCATCGCTACGAGTCCGGAGCGTTCGGACGCTTCTACTGTAGGGGCTCCTGGCCTTACTACTAGGAACAAGGACGCGAATTACTAATTTTGCCTTTCACTCCCAATGTCTTCCGATACTCTCCCCGATGTTTTGCAGAACTCCGTCGCTGCGCCTGTGCCAACATGTAGGAGGGTCGCAGGTTGTTGGACATGCGCCGCGAGTTGCGATCCTTCGCTTGCAACGCGGGGTTGCGGTCGATGGTCGCCGGCTTGTACTTGTCCCAGAGCCTGCATCGGTGAGGCCGCGAACGCCGCCGAGGGCCCCAAGTCCGGAGCTGGAGAGCTCGACTGAAAGAGGCGGCGGCACGACTTGGAGGTTCTTTGGAAGTGCTTCGGACCAAACTCCGGAGATGACCGGGGACCGTCCCAAGTGGTCCAAACCATGTGGCTACATCCCATGAAAGCGAAACTTGACATCCAGCGACATCCTCTCCTCAGGATCGACCACACGTTCGATGCAGTATGTGGGGAGTAACTCATCAGCGTTTTTGGCTGATGAGCTCACGTGCTTGCCCTGAACTTCCAAATGACTCATTTTACCCCACGACTTGCGAGTCATAATCCACCACTGCCAAGGTAAAATGGGTCATGACTGGACTCTCAGGCTTAATTAGTAAGGATTGAGGGAATGGATCCAAAGGAGTCTCCATTAACCACTCATTCCCTACTGAGCACGGGCCAGTCAGTTGGAGTGGCCCACTCACAAGTGAAGAGGCACAGCGGTTCTTTGGGCACTTTGGGCACGCGCAAAAAAGGAAAAC